TCTGGGCACCTTGGGAGGACCTTGGAGCAGAAAAAGGCCATTGCATACCTCATCCCTCCTCCTCCAACATCTCCTCTGTGCTTACGAAGGGAGGGGAGTCTGTCTGGGGACTCTATTCCTTTCTCTTCTGAGCTGAGCTGTTCATGAATTAAGGGAGCTTACAGCTTATGATGCCAAATCAATCCAGCTTCTGATCCCCTATGTTCTTTACTCCTTAAGTTACACCGATATGCTCTGCCTTCACTTTAGCAATCCAGTTGACCTGAGACAAAATTATTAAGTCAGGGCTTCTAGGCTTTTCTATCCATCCCCACATGTTAAGTACTTTCCTGTGGCTGACTAGCTTGTATCTAATAAACTAATTTGTGGTAAAGGATCTGATGTTACTTATTCTAGCAGAATAAACCTTTTAAAAGAGTAGCCTGCAGGGGGCAGTGTTTAATTTTATGGGGAAGCTCAAATGGTGCACTGTCAGGCATTGTGATACGGAAAACGATTAAGTGGAGACATACAAAAATAGTGACCTTCATTACCTTACTTTTTAATGGCTATACCATTCGCTTCTAGACATAGACCACTTGACTTCACATGCAGAGTACAGACGGGGTGAACATAAAGGCTCATATTTCAAGCTACTGATCCCAAACCATAAAACCTGAACAAAGGAAGGAGTGCAGACAGGCTGTGGGTGGCTGACCACTCTACCCTTGCCTTTCCAGAAGCATTCGAACAAGCACATTCAGCTGTTGGGCCTGTCATGTCCTCACACTTAGGCCCTAACACCACTGGTAAAAGAAAAAAAAAATGGAACTCCAGGGACTAGCAGTTGGCGTAATGGCGATGTCACTGGACTCCCATGTAGTCGACCATGGTTCAAGTCCCAGACCCGGTGGGTGAAACTCATGCTCGGTGCGTGTGTGTGCATGACCAAGATCCCGAGAGGAGAATGGAGGAGAAGGGACTGTAGCATGGCCATCCCCCCTGGGGGATGATTTCTCACTTTCTGTCTCTGTCTCTCTTTCTGGCAAGCACATGCACCCTATAGCAAAAGCCTCTTCAAAAAAAAAAGAAAAAGAAAGAAAGAAAAGAAAAATGGAACTCCAAAGAAGTGAATTAGGATAGTCCTGGTACCAGACCCAAGTCTGGTTCTAGAACTCCAGCAGAGAAAGCCCTCCTGTGTCCCAAGAGATACCACCACCATTTAGTGTAATTTCCCTAGGGATTTTGAGGGAAGAGTATCGTAGGCCAGAGATGAAAAAAAGTAAAAATCAAACAATCAGAAAAATCAACTGAAGACCCAAAGAGAATCGGGTACTGTCCACTCATTTTTCTGTACTTACTCTTCTTTTTCATCTGGTCTTCAAAATGTGGGCATTCCCCCAGACTCAGTTCTTTTTTTTTTTTTTTTTGAGAGATTTTTGCTATTAGGGGATGTGTACTCACCAAAGAGACAAAGAGAGACAGAAAGTGAGAAATTCCCCCCGGGGAGATGGCCATACCGCAGTCCCTTCTCCTCTATTCTCCTCTTGGGATTGGGGCACGCAGACGTGCACGTGTGTGCGCGCGTGCGCGCGCGCACACACACACACACACACACACACACATGCCCTGTGTGAGTTTCATGCTGCTGGGCTCAGCACTCGAACTGCAGTCTACCATGCAGGAATCCAGTGCTTAACCACTATGCCACCTACTGTCCCCCAGACTCAATACTTAGCCCCTGTCCTATTTCAGTACTCTCCTCAGAAGCACAATAATTGCCAGATCCTTTCTATTATCACTGCTACATAGATACCTTTATTTTTTAATTTTTTAGCTATGAGGCACATGCACTCACCAGAGAAACAGAGAGAGAAAGTAAGAAATCGCCTCCCAGTGGGGATGGCCATGCCACAATCCCTTCTCCTCCAGTCTCCTCGAGATTGGGGTACACATGCACGTGTGCCCAGAGTGATTTTCAAGCTGCTGGATAGGACTCGAACCATGCAGTTTGGCCATGCAGGATACAGTGCCTTAACCTCCATGCCACCTGCTGGCCTCTAAATGTCAGGCATTGTGATAGGTAAAGTCAGCCAGCTTCATAGTTCTGACTAACGAACATCACATATGGGTGTCCCACCACTATCTCAACACAATCTGTAGAAAATCAAGTCACCTTTCCATATACTCCCAATTTCTGCTAATAATGATGATCCTTGATTTAGTTCTCTAGACTCATCTAAGTAACTGCAGTTCTTAGAACACTTACCCTTTTTTCCCCTCATTTCCCCCCATTGTATCCAGTCTTTCAGTTAAACCTGTTATTGAAATTCTCTGTTGTCTTATCTACCTTCCTTCGGAGTACATTATTTCCTTTTATGTATTATAATTTTTAGGTGTGAGCTTATGTTCAGTGGGGATTTCTGTGGACTGTAACTCTGTAGCCCAGGTTGAGGATATGTTTCTCCTGAGCAATTTTTAATTTAATTTAATTTTTTCCTTGCCCTAACAAGAGAGAGGCAGAGAGGGAGAAAGAGAAGGCACCCCCTAATGGGGAGTAGTGGCACCATGATCCCTTCTCCATTTCTTCATTCAGTCAGGATTGGGGACCTGCACACCCACTCACCAGTCTTGTTTTTTCAAGCTGCAGGCCAGGATTCAAACAAGGCCGTGTGGGATCCATTTCCTTTAACCACTAGACCAGAGGGCAGCCCAGCAGTTTTAGGTTTGCTTTTGCCAGGCACTCCAAGAATCTCACTAGATAGAGACCAATTTGTTTTTTTAGGAGTTTGTTTTTTTTTTTTAATTTAACTTTCTCTTTCTTTTTCTTTTTTTCTCTCTCTTTCTTTCTTTCCCTTTCTTTCTTCCTCTTTCTTTATCCCTCCCTTTCTTTCTCCCTCTCTTTCTTTCTTTCTTTCCTCCTTCCTTCTCCCTTCCCTTCCCTTCCCTTCCCTTCCCTTCCCTTCCCTTTTTTCTTTCTCTTTCTTTCTTACCAGAGAGGGACAGAGTAAAAGAGAGAGGGAAAGTAAGAAAGCAAGCCTCCAGGTCCAGGACTCAAACCGTGGTCAGCCATGTAGGAGTCCAGCATCCTTAACCACCATGCCACCTGCTGGTCTGAGACCAATCTTTTGTTAATTTCTTGGCTGGGGGAGGTGCTGTATCATGTAGGTGCTCTGAGTTCCAATTCCAACTGAATTAGTTTTAAATTCTCAGAGGCAGCTCTCCCTACTCTAACCAGGGCACAGGTCAGGATTGAGAAGCAGTAAGTCTTCTTCTCCATATCTTCTAGGTTAGCCACAGCACTTGTCATGCTTATATGTCTTGGTCTCACTTCCCTTGTTTTAGTCCCTGTAGATTTTCTTCATACTTAAAAAAATTTATTTATTTAATTTATTTATTTAAAGATTTCGGGGGTTTTACATTTTATTTCTTCTTCTTCTTCTCTTCTTCTTCTTCTTTTTCTTTCTCTTCTTCTACTTCTTTTCTTCAATTTAACCAGCGAGAGAGAGAGAGAGAGAGAGAGAGAGAGAGAGAGAAAGCAAGCCGCCAGATCCAGGACTTGAACCACAGTCAGCCATGTGGGAGTCCAGCATCTTAACTACATGCCATCTGCTGGCCCCTTCTTATTTTTTAATTTGCTATAGGGCACACATGCTCACCAGAGAGAGACAGAGAAGGAGAAAGAGAGGGAGAGTGAAAAAGTAAGCTGCCAGTTTCAAGACTTGAACCATGGCTGGCCACATGGGAGACCAGCAGCCCAACTACCAGGCCACCTGTTAGCCCTTTCATTACATTCTTGCAAGCTTAGCTAAGTATTTTGGGAGGTTTCTGCTATAGTTTGTGAAATAGTCTACATATTTTGTATCAGGAGAGTCCTTGGGTTATCCAGTCAATGATATTGCTGAAAACTGAATTCAGAAGATGTTGATTCTTCTTTTATAATATTCCTCATATTCATCTCTTTGCCTATTGCCAGCACCTCAGTTCATCTCACCACCACCCTCATATACACCTGTACCTAGGCCATGACACTCAGAGAGAGTCACATAACACTGCAGTTGGAAGAAGCTTGTAAGAACATCCTGTCTAGACCCTCACTGTATAAAAGAGAAAACTAGGATCCAAGAGTTTTGGAAATTTTCTTAGGGAAATGCAGATGGTAAGAGATTGAAGTGGTTCTTGAACTTGGGCCTTCTGGTTCTAAGACCAGTAGATATTCATACATCTGTTTGTTCCATCGATATTATTGAGGACCTGTCATATGTGGGCCAGTGGTTCCCTGCTTTCTAGTTCACCGAAGGAATTTGACCCAACAGTATCAGAGACTCTCAAAAGTCCTGTCACACTGGAGAGATAGGAAAGAGTAATAAGAATCTTGATGGGGCCATCAAGTGGCATGGTGGTTAAGGTACCAGTGTCTCATGTAGCCAACCGCAGTTTGAGTCCTGGACCTGGCGGCTTTCTTTCTCACTTTTCCTCTCTCTCTCTCTCTCTGGTGAATGCACATGCCTTATAGCAAGTTTTTAAAATAATATGGTGTGGTGATTTAGGTGCTGGACACTCCCCATGGCCGACCATGGTTTGAGTCCCAAACCTGGCGGCTTGCTTTCTCACTTTCCCTCTCTCTCTCTGCATGTGTCTCTCTGGTCAAATTAAAATAAATGAATAAATAAAATTAAATAATTATTTTTTAAAAATAATAATAATTAACCTTAAATTAAAAAACGAATCTTGATGAAGTGGGATATGAGGGAAGGTTTGACAAAGCAACCCAGAATGTCTCTTATTTCCTCCCCCTTTACTCCAACCCTGCATCCCGTTTGAGACAAGCCTGAATTATACCTAAACCACTTCCTGTGGTCCTTCTGCCTCCTCCTGTCTCTCTCCTTTCCTTCCACCTTGCACAGCAGAAGTGATGAAAATTTCCTAAAATATACCAAAATGACTGAGGCTTCAAACCTCCTTTAAAAATTATGTATCTTTTCACCCAGCAGTGAAAGCCCTCCATGTCTGATCCAAATCCATCCTCCAACTCTCACCCACATCTCTCTTTTTGATCTTTGCTCTGCCCTCTCCCCTTCCCCCATGTATTATCCAAATGCTCCCACCCCTGAGCTCTTTGAAGGGAGGACACCTTGCCTGATTGTGCTCATGGGCCTCACATCACCAAGTCTACTGCCCAGCATGTGTGAGTACTTACTACCGGGTTGATTAGTTGACTAGAAAATAAGACAAAATGAACAAAAAAATTTTAAATGGAGTAGAGAAAGAGAAAAAGGGAGGAGGAGGAAAGGAGGGTAGCTGGAAAACAGGAAGCTGGGAAGGAGAGAAGGAGGGAAGGAAGATGAGAAGACACAGGATTGAGACCCTGAGCCAAGCCATTGGGTCCCATGAGTGGGACCATATCTCTGGCTAGTGTGGGACTGTCCAGTTTTTGCCAAGCCGATGATTCTTGCCTCAGCTCTGGGACCCAGATGTGTCTGTCACTGAGCTCGCTCTCTCTCTCTCTCTCGGTTTCTCTGGCCCACATGGAGTGGGATTCAGTTGAACATTTTTAGAACGTGGTTCCCATAACAACCAAGCAGGAACTGTTGTCTGTGAAATGTAGCATGGGCACACATGCGCATACGCTCACACGTACATACACATGCACATATGTGCAAAACCACATAGATACACTCGTACATAAATACATCAACATATGCACACATGTGTACTCACACATGTGCTCACATACATGTGCATTCATGAATACACACATGTATCTGTTTCCACATGCATGTTCACAGGCATACACTTGCAAACCTGCGCACATGCCTGCATAGACATACACAAAATAAAGCATACATGCATAAGCATGCCCAAAATTGTTTTTACATATTCACAGGAAGCAGGGTGAAGACAAATCACAACAAAGAATGTAGAACCAAGACAATATGGATATTTTGGGCTATCTGCAAAAACAGGTGGATTTAGGAAGTCTGCTTTTGAAAAGGCTCAGGCTTTATTATTGCAGGAGGGCACTGTGGTTGAGCATAGACTTTGGAGTTTGGTGACTTGAGTTCAGATCTTGGCTGTGCCATTTATTGAGCTCTGAACTTTGGCTTCTCCACCTACAAAGTGGGGATAATAGTACTATCTACTTGATAGGATTATTAAGAAGCTTAAATGATAAGCATAAGACAATTAGCATGATGCTTGGCACTTAGTCAAAAGTGCTGTTATCATTTAGGTCTTAGAAGTGAGTTCTCATTTGCTCAACCTAAGAAGACTTCTTGGAAGAGGAAAGAAATGCAGAGCTAAAGGAAGGGGAGAGGGGGAGTTTGACCTGAGTGGCCATTGTACAGCCTCAGTCAGTATTAAATTTGCCTTTTCCCAAAACAACCTAAAAAGTCTACAGATGATCCTTCTTGATACTGAAAGCCCCAGTGCCTCTCTGCCTTCACAGGAGTGAGGTGGGCTCATGAAAAGTCCCCATCAGTCTTAGATTTACTGGAGACTCCTGGGGCTGGAATGGATTTCTGCTCTGCTGCAGCATGACTGCCCCTCAGGGTCTGTCCAAGCACTGCCCTCAGCCTGAAATGCCATTTCCCCTTTTCCTCACCCAAGGCTCAGGTCAGCCCTAGTCTTGGTAGTCCAAAATCCTGTCTGACTTGTCAGGTCCCACTGTAGCCCTGCTGACTTTTTCCAGGCCTAGGATATCCAAATTGTTCCCACCTCACCAGCGGGATAGGCCTTAAGCCAAGGGCAAGGCCCTCTAGATACTCCTGTCCCAGGAAGCCAGTCTGCATCCTTGCCGGTGGTGGGGATAGGAGGGAGCCAGGATTGTGGAGCCCGGGAGCCTTTCCTCCTCGATCTGGGATAGGATTTGTGACAGGGGAAGGACTGGGTCCCAGAACCGGATAGTGCCTGGTCACAGCCACCCTCAACTCTGGTTCCCTAGGAACGCCCAGAGGTGATCGTCTTGGACTGCTCCGCGATGACCACGTGTCTGACCCGAGGTCGCGGAGTGCTCCGATCCAAGCGTGCAGCCCTCAAGCCAGTGAGGGACCCAAGCGTGCAGCCCCCAAACCGGAGAGGGACCGAGGCGATAAGCTAGGAGTGGTGAAGCGCTCCCGCCCCTTTCGAGGTCACGGAACCGCCCACCTCAGGATGTGCCCCAGAAAAGGTGCAGGCCCTAGCCAGCGTGGGAGGGTTAGGGCGTAGAGGCCCTGACTAAAGGTGGGCAGCAGAGACCACAGCTTTGAGGTGCCCAGGGCGGGGATGCACTGGGTAGTGCCTGAGGCCGGGAAGATTGGGACTCGGGACGAGCGCAGCTGGAGCAGTCCCTGCACCCCCAGGGCGGCGCCACGGACCCCTCCCCCATCGAAGCCACCTTCAGCGGAAAACGTGGGGTCCCGGGGCAGCCGCTTCTGGCCGCAGCTGCCGCTCCCCAGCTCGCGGGAGAGCCCGCCCCGGAGGAGGGGCCGGCTCCGCCCCACCTCCTCGCGGCCTCCCTCCCCTTTTCCTTGCTTTCCTCGGGCCGCGCGCCCCCTCCTCCCTCCTCCCTCTGTCCCTCCCTCCCTCCCTTCTCTATCCTTCCCCCACCCGGTTTGTGCGCCCCTCCCGCTGCAACTGGCTGGGGTGGGCGCTA